TTTTTCAAAAGTGGAGTTGTCTAGTTTAAGTTAAGGTAGCTCCTGTTCTTTGGGAGGTACAGAATTAGGGTGAAAAAAAAAGAAATTTCTCTGGGCCTTTGAAATCATATTTTTGCATTTGGAATTAAATCCAGAATCCTTGGAAAAAAGTTCAATTCCACTGTCCAATGAGCAGGGACTCCAGCACAGTGTCAGAATAGACAGGCATAAGTTTCTATAGAGCATTTTAATCTTGTACTCTCTGTTTTCTTTTCCAGTTAAAGGAAATACGACCAATCGAATGGCAAAAACCTAACACAGAAAGTGAAATAAACTGATTAGGTAAAGAAAAAAACCACTATGATTTCCCCCAGGTTTGCAATGTTTAAAGCAAACGAGGTATGATTGCCTACCCTTTCCTTTCACCACTTTGGCCTTCTTCAATAATCACCCAAGGTACATCACCTAAACATTAGTTTCTAGATGGGTGTGTAAGTTATTATGACTGCATGCCACAGCCTGGTTACTGAATGCCCCGTAACACCAGAACCATTAATAACTCTCCTGACAGGCTACAGGCTTGGTTCCACATCGCTGCAAAAGCAAGCATGTGATAAAAGGCAAGGCCTTCACGATTTAGATTTGGCCGATTTCAGTGAAAGTCACACCGGGCACAAATTTATTTTATGCAAAGAAGAGGCATACTTGAAGAGTTTAGAGACAAAAGAGCTATACCCAACTAAAACAATTTCCTCTGAAAATAAAGCAAGTCATCTGAAGAACAGAGGAATACTTAGCCACACCATGCTTATAGACACTTAAAAGAAACACCCACCTAAAAGCAGTTCCCTGTGTAAGCAGGGCCGCTGGAGCTAAATGACCACTATAGACTTCGCCTCTCAACCCTGAGCCGCACGCGCTGGCCTCCCCTGTAACACCTCTACCTCTGTGCACCTCCTTAGTCGTCTGACCTGGCACCAGCAGGGAAGCAGCGGCTCTGGTTCCTACTGTCAGAGAAGGCAGAGCCTCACACTGGGGTGATCCCACTATTGCCCCAAGGAGGCAGATCCTGCCTTCCTGAGTTTTGAGCCGCATCTTCCAGAAGCTGGATGGCCTGAGAGCGAAGCAGCCTTCACCAGGATGTAGCAACAGGCAATCGGCTTCTGCAAGCTCCTGCTGTGCACTGGCAAAGGGTCAGTGCTACAAGCGGCTGTCCTTTAACTAGTGTTTGCAGAAGATGAGCCTCAGGGTGTGCTGTCAGTGCTACAAGCGGCTGTCCTTTAACTAGTGTTTGCAGAAGATGAGCCTCAGGGTGTGCTGTCAGTGCTGGTCACCTACCGGGAAACTGCAGTTGATTTTGGAGGTAAACGGCATCCCCAGCCCAGTGCTGCAAGCTTGGCACAGTAGCTTCTCAGCAGGACCGACAGTAATAATTTTTTAGTATAATCTCTACGACTTTATCGTGCTGTATGTACCGCACGTTCCAGGATCAGATTCTACAAAGAGAAGCCCTGTTGTGGTTAGGTTAAAAATTTGATGCTGAATGTTCTCCAAAGTCAACCAAGCCATAAAAGAAGAAAGAGACTGAGGTTTTTGTGATTCAGTAAGATGTACATGTTAGCAGGAAAAAGACTACTGTACTTTAATGGATATATGGAGAAGCCAATGAGACCCAGCAGGCCAATATATTCTAGATGAAATATTATCACAAATGAGGATGTGTTTTTATTCAAAGCACCAACTGTTTACTTTAGATTTCGGGCAGCTGGGTGGCCTCATTCAATGGTTCCCTTACTTTGTTTGGGTTTGCTTTTTCTTATTAACCTTTCTGTGTAACTATTAATATAACCTGTTTATGAATTGGACTTTTTTTGCTGCTTGCATTGTAATTGAGATACAAGTCCATAGTCTTATTTATATTTGCATTAGAATTGACTATTTATCAATTGATTGAGATAAGTGTTTTTCAAGGGGTGCTTAGTTCAAGGCGCCAGGTTCCTTTTTACCATAAATTAAAATTTACAGAAATAAACAGAGCAGCCATTTTATTAACTAGAAGGACAAGTGAAACCTTACTGCAGCTTCTAGTTCTTGTCTGTATGGCACAAGTCCAGCTACATCTCACCTCTCTTCCCCAGAGCCGAGGAAAAGAGATGGGTCACCCAGTAACTATGCAAAGCTCCCTTGGGAAGGGGAGTAGGCATTTTTCAGGAATGAAGCGAGGCCAGCATCTTGGTTACTGAAATACCCTAATTAATTAAAAATTACTTGGAGGTTCTGATGAAGCAGGAAAAGTTCAACTCCCATCATACCCACACTATATGCACCCATCTTCATTTTCTAAGTCATACAGTTCCTTTCTGCTCTAGTCAAAGGAAAAAGAATAGCTCCTTCAAGAAAGATTCAGCACACACAGGTCAGGCTCTGCTCCCAACCTCTTCTGAAGGAGTTTTTCATTCCTTTGACAGCAGAGCTTTAACCAGGTGCTAAATGTTGGAGTAGAGTCACAGTTGGGGGAATCCAAGAACAGAGACTGAGAGAAACCCACCAGTCGCCATAATACAGACAGAGAGGGCAAAAGGATTCAGCATTTCAAACATCAGTCATTTTTAGTTCATCCCATGCTCTTATGGAGCATGCAGAGTACCATCAAGGATGCAGAATTTCTGTAGAAATCATATTTAACCTCAAGACTGAAGAGCAGGCATACCCTAGATAGAAATGTTAATCCCTCCTGGAATATTGCAGTGATTATTATTTCATAGAAAGAAAGGAGAGTTTTATAGCCCCCCCATGGTGAAGAAAGCCACTTTATAATTTCTCTGGGGTCCCACTTTTCTATGAGCAGTTCCATGGCTAGAAAATACAAGTCAATAAATGCGTATAACTAGGTAGAATAAAAACATGTTTGCACAATCCTCCAGTACATTCTTGTATTTTTATCAAGGCTTTCTGGCAATAGCATAAACCCACATACACAAACAACTACTGCACTAAGTCCCACAAGACAAAAATACTGCCTTCAATTATTTCCACTGAGGGTGCACTTTATTTTAATTGGGGGGGCGGGAGGAATGCTTTTCATATCTGACTTCTAATTCCTCCTGGAAAAGTAGAGATTGGACCATGACAAGCATTACTATAAAGAAGTGAAGAAAAACATCATGTTTCCCCCAGAAATGTAGAAAACTATAATACTGTGCTAAACATTTCAATAGGGCAAGATGTTTAGTTTCACAAATATTATTTGCCCAAGGAACAGAACATTTTTTCTAAGTTTCTAGACCTCTCCGTAGTGCACAAGCAGAAATGTTCCCTGCTGGAATCTGTTCACATGCTGGGGGCTCCCTGCGAGCTTAATTCCACTGGGTAGCATCACCTCTCTGGTGCCACTAGTACTGCTTGTCATAATTTTTTTTGCTAATGTTGATTTAATACTAGCATAAACAACACAGCCATTACTAAAATGAAGCATCTGAAACAGATTCACTCTTGTTAATGGGTGAACGGTTATGAACATATGATTTTTACCATCTTATTAGCCAAGGTGTTTTATATATAACAAGAAAGTATTATACATTTGCTTTGTATACTACATATACGTAACACCAACAATCATTCCCAGGTGTACTAAAACAAGCCTTTGTAATGCTTAGTAAGTACAAGAAGGCATTAAAACTATACTTATTTTAAGTAGCCTTAAATACCTTAGCTCTTCCTACACCATCAAGATGTGTAAATAAGAATCAAACTCAACCATACACCGATGCTGGGACGGTATACATCTTAAAACTGAATGGGTAGAAGCTTAGCTACTTAGCTTTTCATTTGAAGAACCTGGATTTTCAAGAACTACGGGTTCAAATGCCAGCAAACCAATTCCCACTTTAATGCCTCCAGTTGTGAAAACGGAATACTAAGCAGTGTAAGATGGAGATTTATATTAAAAGATCACTTAAAATCTTATTCTTTCTAAAGTTTTGTGTTTTTTTAACTTCAATGCATATAGGGAAAGCTAACACTCTACAGCTACTTAAAAATCTACAAGAAATACATACATTTCTATTATAATCTGTAAATTTTATAATTTAGTAAGACTGAAAGTGCTTTGTGACTGGGTTACCCCTTCTTTTTCTACAGCTGACAAGATGCCATAGATCCAGCAACAACAAAATATACAGCTATCTTCAGGCATTGAGTGGAAGGTGCTTAACAGAGGATTATAAGCCAAACTAATTGTACTGTTATTTCTGGAAGTATTTTGACATTTGCAGCCAACTGCAGTCTAATAGACTGAGCTAATGGAAACAGTGAGAACTGTTCTTTTGCATATGGTAACGACTCATTGTTTAAGAAGTGATAACTGGTGCCTATAATGCAATTTTGTGACAGCTATACATTGCATTATAGGCACCAGATCACGGTCGGATGATACAGATCAAATTGTGTACTTACTCATGTGTAAGCCATGGAACATCGCTCTTTCCTTCTCTGGTTGTGACAACATCACGTTTGACGCCAAATACTTTTCCACAACTGTCTTTGGCCAGAAGATCAAAAATTTCATTATTATACACTTCTACAACAGAAACCTCAACCCAGTAACTTCCTGGTGGCTTTTCTGAAATAAGCCTGGAGAATAAAAATAGAAAAAAACCCAAGAAGACAAAAGCCAAAAAATGTTGAATTCAAACCCCAAGTGAACAATCTGTAAACATAGATCTATTCTTTAATTGTAATCTAATTACAGTCTGATAAAAGTGCTTGTTAAATATCCACAGCCATGGCTTTGCCTCATCCACATGCTAATGTTAAGCTGAAGAATCAGAATGCACAGTTAAATTATACTTAAAGCAGTAAATAAAACTTCATTTTCAAAACAGCTGTGCCAGCTTAAATTGTTTTTGTCCACTAGCCTCCCTCCTTCCTCAAGATTTCTTTTATATCATTTCTCTGCTGAACATTGTTGCATTCAGAGTTCAAGGTATGATAAACTCTGGCAGAGTGCAAGCAATGAACAGGCAGAGATGGCAAACTGCCCAGTTAGATCTGTAAGGGGTTATCTGTCCACAGCCTCAGAAAATTTGTAAATTAAGGGCTTGTCTATTCAGGAGAGTATTTACAGTTAGACACAGTTATTCTGGTACAAAATCAGATCTTTGATTTAGCTTTTACCCTTGTCCAAAAGAAATAGGCTTAGCTGGAAAAACCTCTAATGGCTCTTCTATTATAACATAGCGGCGTATCAGTTTAAATCAGGCATTAGGTTCAACTAAAAATCTACGAATTCTCAAAGCAAGAACAGATTGCGGTTAAAAATTCTGCTGTCACTCTTCTTGGGGACTGGGTTCCAATCTGGATCCTCTTCATCGATTCCAGTTGTCAATTTTCACAAAACTTGTAAGAACTTAATTATCTTTCAGACTCCCACAACTATGGTTGAAACATTTTCATAAGGTAATTAGGGAGTCTGAAAGACAGATGGACAGGTAACACACAGCAAGATTGCATAATCTTCTTTTCTTAGAAAATCGGACTAAGCAGGAGAGAGATTAGAAATTTATATCAAAACTCAAATATCAAATGGCAGTCAGAGAAGTTATAAATATTAATCATTATGAAGCTGAAATCTGTAATGATAAGTATATTACAAACATTACTTCTTCCTTCCTGTAAAGTTTAAGGTGACTGCCACTGACACAAGCCCTTACTTAGCTGTTACCTGAAAACTTCTTGGGTAGCTCGAGGAATAATTCCCAGTTCTGATTCATCTTCAAATGCAAAGTTCTCCTCTATCTGTGGTCCCAACATCGTGTATGTCTTCCCACTTCCCGTTTGCCCATAAGCCATGATACACACATTGTACCTGAAAATTAAAAGGGCCTTCATTTATTTTAGCATTATCAAATGTGTTTGTTAGGCGGCAAGTCAAACCTCAAACAATTTTGGGGCACAAACTGCAATAAAAAATAAATATACTGCCCCTGCAGATTTCTTTCTGGAGATCTCAAAATCAGACAGAAATTAAAGTACTGCTCATAAGATTGCCTAAACAGATTTTATTTTTTAAGCAGAGTTGAAGGGATGCTTTTAAGCAGAGTTTAAGGGATGCTTAGCTTGGAATGATTGATGAGGTCTGACCTCCTGTCTGCCCAACTTCCAGTTCATGCACTACCGAGCTGCTGGTTAATCAGCTCCTGAACCACTGCAGTTTACAGTACAGCATTTTAAAGTAAACCATCGCTGGGTTTGATTTGACTTACAGTGCTATGCTGCAAACCGCAGCACTAATATCTCAGCTGGGAACAGCTTAACAGCTGGGAAATCTTCAGCTCTTGTAGTCTTTCTGAGGCAGACTCATCAGTCATAGCCCTCAGTCATTGGAAAAGATAAGACAGTCCTAATAATAAGGCACAAATTTTAAGCCAAATGCATTAGTTCAGTATAAGCATGCGCACAAAGTCTACTCTGGACTAAAGGTGGTGGGATCTGCTCTGATACAGACTTGTAGAAGGTGAAAATGTACAATGTCACTGCAGAGGTACAGGCACCTATGAAACACAATTCAACATCTTCTGAAGCAGACATGTAAAATTCATGTAATGAACAGAACTCTGAAAATGCCTGTTTCTCTGCACTGAAAATAATAATAAAAAAAGACCACAGCTGTGAGCTCTGTTGTGGATGTCTGTGCCACAGGGATCTGAATTCAGGTGTATGAATCATATCCAGAAAGTGTGTTTCCAACATAGTCAGAACAAAGTCAACATCTTAAGCAAAACAAACGGGTGAATATAAATGTGTCTGGCCACAGCACTACTTTGTACTGAGGACCAATGCTGCACCATGCAGCTGAAGGTTAGTCCCTGCTTGACTGTGTCTGCTCTGCAGCACCTGCCAGCACCTTGGCGTTGACCACAGAACGGTGACAGCAAAAACTCTTGGAAGATGCGCAGTTACGCTGACAGGACTGCTTCTTCCCTGGACTATTTTGTTTGTTCAGAGACACAACATTAGCACAATCTCCATACGCGAGGAGTGATTTGCAGTACGCTGACATTTCTGCTTTACTAGAGAGTTGCAAGAATGGGCTTGCTCCTGTTCTGCCAGAGAGTAAAATTTCACTGCCTAAGCTACCTCCTCTGTGGGCAGACCTGAACAGCTGCTTTTGGTTATCTGATGCTTTTCCTCATAACAAAAATGTTGTTTCAAGCACATGCCAGCATATTTCAATGAACACCCCTGATCTAATTGTTTTAAATTTATGGTTTCAAGTCATGAAATACTTAAATGGCCACTGCACAGAAGTACATCTGCAGTGATTTTTTGCATATTAAACATGGCTAGAAGCAATTATTTTTGGAGAATTATTTAGAAAGCTTTCTCTTGTTAGAAAGAAATGTGGGCTGATAAGCAACACAGCAAATACCTGGGTACCCCTTCTGGGGATGTAAAGTAAAGTTGCAGTCAGTGAATCTATAGTAACGTCCCTCCACATTTCAGGATGCAGAGTATGAAACAGAAGTCTAGCCACAGATTTGATGAAGTAAAGGAGATGAGATAACTGTAACTGAAAATAAAGAGCACTGCAGCAAAATGAAATGTTCTAGAAATCAGCGCTGTAAATCTGAAATGAGAGATTTCTCCAAGTATTCACTGCAGACATAACTCTGCTTGCATTTACATCAGTGGAAAAGCTCCCACTAATTTTGGTAGTTTTCAGCCAGGCTAACAATGAGCAATTTTCACAATTCCACCTCTAACACACACTGCCTGGCCAGCCTGTAGCTTATTGAGACTTCTAGCCCTGCTTCAAAATCAAAGAGATCTTTGGAACCAAAAAGGGAGTCAGAAGTTTGCAAGTAGTTTTCCTTAGGAAAACCAGAATGGAAGTCTTTTTAGAAGTCTCTCAAACTTTCATATAGTCCAGCTATTCAAATTTTCCTTAATTGCTACTTGTTAGAAAGTAAGCATCACAGACAGAATAGTTCTGACAAGATACAGATGATATGATTAGAAGCTAAGTAGACAGGTGCTTGTAACATTGAAGATAGAGATGCAAATAAGGCGTCAATCAGCAGTACCTTCACTGCCAAAGCCAAAACAGTATTTCAGTAAGCCCAAATAAGCTAAAACTATCTGAAGCAGTATTGTATCTAAATAGGCACAGGAGAGAATGCATTGTTGGGTGATTCAACAAGACAACAAGCAGCAGACTAGTTTATATTTACCTAGTTTACTTTGTTGGTGTTCTGGTTCCAACAAAGGCACTAGAACATCGTTGCCCAGAGAAGCTGTGGCTGCCCCATCCCTGGAAGTGTTCAAGGCCAGGTTGGATGGGGCTTTGAGCAGCCTGGTCTCGTGGAAGGTGTCCCTGCCCATGGCAGGGGGTTGGAACTGGATGGGCTTTAAGGTCCCTTCCAACCAAACTACTCCATGTTTCTCTGATAAGGGTTTCAAATACAGCAATCTGAAAATTTCAGACTATGATTCACCTACATGCCCTGATAATTTCTTCTCCACTCTGCTTCATTAGTTATATTCTTGTTTAGAAAAGTTCTTATTGTCAAGCTAGAATAACAATAGTTTCATAGTATTTCTCTCCTGTAAAGAGTGTGGGTGTTCAGTATAGCGAAGTTATCACTGGGAGAGAACACTAATAAAGGAAATAAAAGGAGGAGAAATGTATTCTTCTTTAAAATAAACAAGTTTGATTCTTCAATGCTGTAAAGAAAAGAAATGTTATCTTACTCCCTTGCTGGCCCTGTAAGGCTAACTGTAAACTTTGAAGTCTGATGTACTTTGCCTGTTTTGCATATGGAACAATCTTTTCTTCCTGTATATTTATACTGAAAAATGAAACAATTCATTAAGAAAGAAAAATAAAGAAAAAATAAAGAAAAATAGCGGAACACTCCTTTCTACTTAAGGTAACAGTTGTTTCAGACCACTTTGGAGCCCAGACTAAAACAATCAGGAGCAGCAAAGAGGTCGAAGGTTCAGACTAAGTGTGTCTGTTTCCCATTTACAATGGGAAGGTTGCTGAGAAACACGGCTCGTATCCACAGCCTCGCCTTCCCTGAAAAATCTGCTTCTGTTTAAGTGGCACTTCTGGAAGAACAAGACAGGTCTTTTGTTTTCAATAACAGAACATTTCCTAACTGAATATAAAAATCCTAGCTTTTAGGACAGGATTCTCCCAATGTGGAAGTTAGAAAGTGGGAAGTACAGCAGATCAAGGTATAGATCAGATATGTCTGAAGATACACAAGTGATATATTGAGCCAAAGCAAATTTATGTTCATTACAAAAGGAAAAGTAGAAAGAAGAAACTCCTCCAACCTAGTGGTCCCTAGGTTGCTCAGCTATGGAAACTGTGGTTACTCATCCTTGGTAAACTTGAATAATGCCATATAGGACCTCCCTTAGCCCAGGTAGCCCTTGTGGGCCCCTCTGTGGCATGTGTAAAGGGATGGCTGGGATTTCCCAATATTCACAATATCCTGATATACCTCTTCTAGGCTAGACTGGGAAACTTCAGTGCATAGACTGCCAGGAACAAGGATTGCCACCATTCAACTACGCCACTGTGGGTGGAAAGGGACTGTCCTTCCCTCTACAGGGAGGGAAAGGTCCATGACAGCTCTACAACCACCACCTATATTTGAGTGGAATTGGAGTGGGGATGAGAAAGGAGCAGAAAGGAAGTTTTGCGTAAATCTCAGTTCAAGCCTCGAGGATTATAACAGTATGCATTTCAAGGCTTCTTTGCAAGAGTAGCTTAAGTTGGCTCTAGTATAAATTAAAAATCACACTTCATGAACTTCAGTGGCTAGAAGTAATTACAGGTACTTGTTAATGCTTGTTACTGATCAGTTTTGTATTCAAACCAGAATTCTGTTTTAACCTCAGTGCCTGAAGGAGCATTTTAACCATGAGTGAGGATGCTCAGTTCTGGTTCAACCACGATTGATTCTACCACCTCCTATGGCCTGTGCTGTACACAAAACCAGAACAGGTGATCAGAGAGTGGCCCTGGCAGGCCTTTCGTATGTGAACACGCTGTTGGAAAAGACGTATCATACCATGTCTGCAACTGAAAAACAGTTATGAAACATAACCTACAAAAACACAAAGGAAAAAAGACAGTATCCTCCATTAGAAGCAATGCTTCAGTTTGCCAGAAGCAGACCAGACAAAAAAAAACCTACTTTTTTTTTTTTTCCAAATTTTTCTGCTCTGCTAAATTTTGTAAACAGTGTCTTCACTGTTTATATGGGGAAACAACATTCAATTGGTGTTGAGTAGAAAGAAATCAGGAAAGCGGAACTGCAAAGCCACAAAACTTGACAGGTCTGCCACTATTAAGTAATTTCTTTTTTAATTGATGGGTTTCAGTAGATTATTGCACTTTAGTTTTCTTACTCCCACCTTTTAACTTACCCATCCAGGAGAGATGTTAGCAAAGGGGCCACATCTGCAAATACTGTGTCTTGAGACTCCGAAGCATTGTAGACTCTGAGGAGCAAAGTGCAGTGATTAACTGAAGAAAAAATACAAATATGTTGTCACAATACAAGAACACAAACTAGGGAAAATATATGCCAGTGACATAAAACCCGTAACCTGCTGACACTTCTATGTCAGGGAACTGAAAATTAGAACTCCAAGGTTCTCGCCTGCTTTTTGGGACCGGCTATTGTCTGGGCTGGAGCGAACAACCCACAGCTGTACTCTTGTGGCTCTCTGAGCTCATCCTAATCCTGCCTGCCTCTCCGGCAGACAGAGTCTTTTTAGAGGCTGTACTAATCCCTGTTACTTTCTCCCACCTACCAGAGTATGAAATATCCCTGCTGCCTGTGTCTCTTGTGCATCATGCGAAGGAAAGGAGTGATCAAGTTGTGTTTCCCTTTAGATGTGGATAAGGTTTGGGGGGAAAAAAAAAAAAAAGAAGAGGTACAGAGGCTGCAAACTTGCCTGGGGACTTATCTCAGAAGAGTCAGTGGCAGAGCAGCAATCAGAAGGCCTCTGAGGGTCATGTTTAAGGATGCACTGTCTTTGTGGGCAGCATCAGCCTAAGGTATTTCCATCCCCACCCCTGCTAAACTATCTACTCTGAAATAAACACTTCTTACTCCAGGGAAGATCTTCTTTTACATTGTGGTGTGGATTTCAGGCTCATTTTTAAACAAAATGAAAGACGCTGAAATTGAATGAGTTATTCCACCTCTTCGAAAAGAGCAATGACAGTACAATCCTTGGGCCAAAACAATGATGTCTAAAACAACTGCATATGTTTTTCAAATTCAAGGAAAAAAAAAAAAAAGATAACACAGGGCTCTTCAAAGAAATTTTTCCTCCGTCCCTTTCAACTATCAAGTTTGTACAACATAAAATCAAGACCTGAAAATAGAAATCAAAGGGAGGAAATTCTGATCATAAAAAGTGTACATCCTAACTCATTCATTTCTTCTCCAGCACACCAAAAATGTATCCTCTCCAAGATTACAGCCTGAAGCAAGCACTGTTTATACAAGACAAACGGAATCTAAACCATGAATGTCATTAGCCACACTTAAGTGTTTGAGGTATGAATGTTTATCTTTGGAAAAAGCTTTCTTTTCTGATATCTTTCTGTTGAGATTTTTTTTTTTGTTTAGCTCTGTTTTCCAATGAATGGTGTGTGTTCTCTACAGCTTATAGCAAAATGACTAATTAGAAACAGGAATTTTGGTAGCAGCAAACATTACAAAGGATAGTCACTTCCCTGTGTATATAGTGTACAAGTACACTTCACTTAGCAGTATCCCACAGCTTGTATATAATACTACAAGTTTAACTGAATGAAGACGTAGTGCGCTCTTTAGCATTTATTCAAGCCTCTTTGTATATTTGACCATGATCTGGCCGCTACAGTCTATAGCCTGCACAAATGTAGATTTTTGTATTCATGTTCTCCATAAACAAGACTGTACAGAGGGATCACTGATAAACAGATACAGAATTAGAGCCAACCCACTTAGTTCAGCATTTTGTTCCTAATAGCCAGAGGAAGGAGCAAGAAACACTATGGTGGCTGGAGACACAATAATTCATCTCTGTGCCTCATCCTAATCCTTAAAAGCTGTAAACTGGCCTCAAAACTGAAATATGAGTTGAATCTCTGTTTCAAAAAAAATATTATTAGAATTAGCATTCAGTTTCTTTTTGCATCTTGCTGAATTCTTGGCCTGGAGTAACATCCTGTGGCAATGTGTTCCACAGACTAATTGTAAGTTGCCTGAAAACGTACTCTCTTTAATCAGGAAAGGAGCACTTGTCTGGCTTGATGGACAAATACTGCTTGTCTTGCCATTCCACTGATGTGCTGTCATACGACACTGAGAAACCAACAAATATGCAGAGATGTGGCACAGTCCGTACTGGGAGGACACAGACACTGAATAGCAATACTCCATCCTTGCTTTGCATGCATACACGCATATGCTTCAGTAAACCTTGCACATCAAATTTGCAAGGTCAATATAAAAGAGCAAAAGCACTTGCAAACACTTTTCTCTGCTTCATTTATCATCTGCAATTGATGAAATATTCATTAGCACCAAGTCCTCCACCTTAACCAACTAGGCCTCTGAGTATGTGTTGAAATTATATTTTTTTCTTAATACATCAAAACATCTCAGAGCTACTACATAAAAAAAAGAAACACAAACTTAGAAGGGTATTTTAGAGATGAGAATATTCATACTGTCTTCACTTGCTGTTGATGGGTTTTGCTGTCTAATAAAGTAAACAGATTGCTGGTGACCACAACCAGGGCAAGAATCAACCAGTCTTAGTAGCCTGTTTGCACTGCGAAGTAGTACAGCCATAGCTAACTATGTCAGGTTCTGGTAGCTGTCCGGAGGAGAGGCACGGGCCTCCAGATGACAGTAACTTCTCCAAATATTTACTCAACTTCCTAAAGGGGTTTTACTGTCACTACTTAGCTGCTGTGGTTCAAATGCTACCAGTACCCAAATGAAGTAGCTTAAAGTTGGCTTGAACTAGTTTATGCTACGCTGTAACCACAGGACTGAAGCATGGACACTCACTTAATTAGCTATCTGAGACCATGAAAGATGCAACAAATCCACAGAATCTCCTTCTATAAGCCCATGTATTTTTACCAGAATGATGACAGATTTGTCCCCGTGTAATGATTAATGTTAATTTCACCTTGAAAATTTTGAGCTTCTTTCTTATTTTGCTAACTGATTTGCCAATAAAATTATAAAAGCATAACATGCTGAAAGCTGGAATTTTCTTCCTGAGCTGAAATCAAATATTTTGACATTTATTAGATCCATAAAACATTGCTAAAAAAAATAAACATTTTTGAGTTCATAAGAACCATATGCTCTTCTGTTTATAAAAAAGAGCTGTGTTGGGACACTAAAAAAACATTCCCCAAGAACTGCATTCTTTGGGGGATTTACATTTAACCCTTTTCCTGATTATCAGGATCTACACCACATGTCCAGAGTCACAGCACCTCTGGAGTCCTGTGTCAGTACCATTAACTGTATTGCTCTACACAGTTGAATTCCAGCATTATGCTGCATTTACTTCAACTGGTATGGCTGTGTTAGGTGTAGCTGGAGGGCGAAAGGAATTACTTCGAGTAGCTTAGCAGACATGCGAGGAGGCCATGTACATTGAGAGATCTCATATACCTTGTATCAAAGGAGTTCTATAACCTATGGGGTCAGTAAAGCTTCCTCAAGATTTGCATTATGTCAGGAATTTTCAGTTGTTTGGTGGCCTACATAACAGCAGCCCCCAGTCTTCATGAGTAGAAAAAGGCAGCATCTTAGAAGGATGCCTCAAGGAAAGGGTGAACGACTGGCAATGTTTAGCAAACCTACAGTGGTTCGGGCTGAACAGGCTCAGACCTTAAGTTTAAACCAGGACAGATAATTCATGTTAGATACATTTGACTTTAAATCAAGTTCTGCCTTCAAGCAAGGGAGCATGAAATCGTCCTCATGTGCTCTGTTTTCAGAGGGTTTTGAAGCATGGTTCAGGGTAGAGAGCCTACTGTATGAGTCATTGCAATGCATAGATGCAAAGTTTGCATTAGAAAAAAGGAGGCATGGGGCAAAATTTTGTATTTGTTCATTTACAGAGATCTCACTTGTATTAATTTAACTCTTTGTGCCTGTTTTCAGAGGTTCAGGTCAGCTCCATTCTGAAAGAACATAAGGCACCTTTCAGCCTGACTGCCTGCAGTTTTCTGTCTTGCAAACTGACTCTCTGCTGTCCCATAAGGCACAAACACCAATTAAAACCCTTATCACAGCTGGTGCATTCAAAATCTCTCTCATCTGTGTGGATTCTCAAGCATCTAACAAGGAAAGTTGTCACACTACAGCCTTTCCCCTACACCACGAGCACTGATTTACATGCCAATACTCTACCCTGCTGTCTATGTTCAGGCCATTTTAACTCTAACTTAAAAGTAGCATGGCTGAACATTGAGTCTTACAAGTCCTCAGTCCAGTTTCTGCCTCAGTCATGCTGTAAAGTCACGCAATCCACCTCAATTCATAGAATCATAGAATAGTTTGGGTTGGAAAGGACCTTTAAAGGTCATCTAGGCCAACCCCCCTGCAATGAGCAGCGACATCTTCAACTCGATCAGGTTGCTCAGACCCCTGTCCAACCTGACCTTGAACGTTTCCAGGGACGGGGCATCTAGCACTGCTCCGGGCAACCTGTGCCAGTGTTTCACCACCCTCATTGTAAAAAATTTCTGCCTTACAGCTAGTCTAAATCTACCTTCTTTTAGTTTAAAACCATTACCCCTTTTCCTGCTAAAAAGTTTGTTCCCATCTTTCTTATAAGCCCCCTGTAAGTACTGAAAGGCAAACATCACTTCCTTACCTTTAAAATGTGGACAACATTTTGCTATCTTGCAACATATTGCAAGTATCATGAGAGCTACTCAGATTGCGAAAAGGGTCAAGTAACTCTCTATACAGGTTTCAAATCTAGGCATATCAGTAGTCTCCACTGAGAGGGAAGACCAAGTGTGTCATCTGTATGCTGAAGTGCATTATTCTGTCCTGGGAAGAATGCGAATACCACATAAATAAAAAAAATATGATTACCTTCTAACCAACGCCTACAAAAAAACTGGCTTTCACTATACAAATCTTCCAGCAATCCAGATTGCTACACAGGACTACCCACCTCTCAAACTGAAAAGTCTTGTTTATTGATGCATGACCAGGACGGCTACACTTTACAAGGACAGTTTCCTATGAGAAAAACAAAATACTTGTAGTTAATGTCATAGGCACACACACATACAAGGAAATATTTATCATTTCTAATGTTCCAGGTGACAGCAGTAATTAAGGATCAAGTCCAAGGCCCTTCTCCAGCAGGCACCAACCCATGAGGCTTTACAGCCTGTATACTGCAATGAACTAGCAAGACCACAAGAAAGGATCCCAAAACACATTCGGATTATTAAAGAACAACCAACGCAAAATAGGTGCACTTAAGTTCACAAGAAAGATTCAAACCCTGAACTGAACTTATGTACCTAGAAAGCCACAGGCAAGTAAACTCAACCTCCCTAACTGCCACCACAGGGAGAAAAAATGGCAAAAAGTCCTTTTTTATTATAGGGCCAGTTTTCACAGTGCCTTTTCAGAATGATTTCGTATATATTTGTGCCTAGAACTAAGCAGAAGATGCACATTTCATAGACTAACATGCTAGTCGACAACTGTAACAAAGAGCTGCACTAGCACAATTGCTAGAACTCCACAAGTTTTTAGTGGAATCCACTGTCCAGATGGATTATATAGTAGTATTGTGAGTCTGACAGATATGTAAGCAGCTCTTTAAACTATTACCAGAGTATAATCGCAGCAGTCTGACATGCCTTACATAGCAAATTCTGTGCCCTTCTGCTTCTCATGCCAAATGTTGCTTAATTGCAGAGACAAGTAAAGGGAAAAAAAAAAAAGGGGGGGGGGTTTACAACAATTTGGGTGGAAGCTTATTAGCACACAAAATACTTCATCTAATTCAAGGAGGTTTCCTAGCTTACTAACCTATATTTCTGCATTTGATGGAAGTGCTGAAATTCCTACTGTGCTTCAGACAAGTACCTTGGAGTGCTGAACTAATGGTCTTCAAATAAATATCACCACAGACCAAAGTCGCAAAGAGCTGAGCAAATAATGATTGCGTAACAGTATGTCCAGCATGCACATGGCTAATAAAAAACAAATTTCTCATTTTGAGTTTACACGTATTTCTTCCTCTTTGGAGAAGGCCAACGTATCATTATCAACCTGACGATGACAACACTTACTCTACAGAATGAGCTATGTTACCTCTCTCAGTACTGGCAAATTTAGCAGTTACACAGATGTGAGTACAACACTTGGCTACAAAGCAGCTTGACACAGAAATTCTAATAGGATGTGTAACCAAGAGGCTCTGGGGGAAGGAAAAAAAAAAGAAAAGGATATAGAGTTATGCTGTAACCAACAGGCTCTGGGGGAAGGAAAAAAAAAAAAGAAAAGGATATAGAGTTATGGGATGCATTTCTGATTCAGATATCAATTTTACTTGCAGACCAGCTTTCCCTAAGGTGAGAAATAGGACAGAAAAAACTCTATTTGCATAATATAGAAACAAAAGAATTGTTAATTGGCAGAAGTTTCATATGAGCATTTGTAATAACCTTCCTTTCCCAGGCGATCAGTATGGCCTAACATATCCACCACGGCTGCTGACCTACAGAATCTCATCAGGTTTCCCTGTCAATAGTGCTTATGAAATTCATACAGCTGTCTCACATGAACACTGAAGAACCTTTTTTTCACCCCAGCGTCACAGAATACTCCCCATCTGAGTTCTTTCAGGGCAATATGAATCATGGAAATGACAAAAGGATACTTCATAAATATTCACAATCTGTCCTGACACTCAAGCCCAATTCTCCAAGCCTGGGGAGCAGTTCAGTAAGTGAAATTCAGTAAGGCAGAGAAATAATTTTAAATGAGTTATATGGAACAGTGGATATGGACATGATCACAGAATCCAGCTGTGGTGATTTTAATTTCTTATCGCTTGTTCCTGCGTATCTGCTGAAGGCAGATGCTAGAAAGCATTTTAACCAAATAAATGTCAAGGCAAACCAATAAAACATTTGAAGTCACTGTCGTGTGTTCCAAAATCAGGAAGTTAGTATTTTGCAAATTTCATTTTACAATCAAATCCATGCATACATTTATTTTCCTGGAATATTTCATAAGGACTTTTAAACATGAGAACAGGTTTGCGTATTGAAGTTTACCAGGTCACTGTTTCACACAAACTAAAATTCATAAATTGGCATAAGCAAGCAGACACTGTTTTGCCTGTAAACCTATAGAGACTGTAGCATGTCAGATATCTATATGAAATAATCAAAAACCTAAACATTATCTAATTTCATCTTTATGCAATAAAATTTAACAGGTCAGAAACGTTGTCGCATTTTATAGTACAATAAATGGGTCATGGCGTCCAGAATACTATGCCTACCATTACAGATCCCTGTTTTTTCTCTCCTGACATATTTACCCTTTCTTAGCTGACTCTTCATGTGCTCCATTAGTTTCCTAATAGCATACATATATCTCTAAGTATCCACTTTATGCAAGTGAGATCTGCTTAATGAAGCTATAATTTGAGAGATTTAAAAGCATAACATACTGCAGGTCACCTCAGCAATATTTTAAGCGCTATACTATAGAAGAGAATTTGGCTAATCACCATGTAAGTAACAGTGAGCAGCCAACTAAGAACTATGGCGGCTAAGAAAATTAAAACCCAAGTTAATACTTTGACTTTAGCTCACAGTACTGTGTCTTTTTAAATTTTATATCTTGGTAATGGCCTCAATTAATGCTGGAATGTCATCTGGATTTGCAACCTCAATGCTCATTCTCCTTCCTCTGATGGATCTAAGCCAGGACACTTTAACGTGCTTGACTGCCGTACCACGTAGGCCGTTGTGGTTCATGAGATATCATATTTCTCTCCTAGTGCATTAGTTGTGTTGCAATAATAAAATGAAAAAAGCCTGACATAATTTTAGAAATAGTTGCAGCAAATAGGGACTGACTGCAGGAAGTCTGCAGCAGTTTGACTACCGCAAACACACAACCTCCGGTTCATGGATGACTGCACCAGCAGAAGCTCCAAGCTATTACTACTACAAAGAGTCAGGATGAAAATAGCAGGAATCACCTGCTATTGCAGCCATGGGTGATCAAAGCTGGGCATCAACTGCCAAGGAAGTACCTCATTTTTTTTTACAAACCCATGGTTCACATGTCCCTCTTGTTTCTCCTTCCTAGTATCTGTGAATGTGCTTTTGAATTTCACCATCAAATACTCACATCATCAGTTGCATAGGCCACTTTTTCTGAAAAGCTTCTTTGCCTGTAAAGAAAACAAAAAGCCAACAGGGGGAAAAAAGGTACCTTTAAAACCATAAGTGAACTGTACACTGTCTGAAGAGTGCCTTTCAGAATTGCCATTATTATTGTACCCCACATACAAACCAACATCACAGTTCATTGTGAATAAAAAAACCAAAGTGCAATTACAGCAAAATAATCTGCTTAAAAAAGAAATTTAGAACAAACCCAATTAAGACTAATTCACATGCAAGCCATTCTATTATTTTGAGATTGAAATGTGAGCTTGTAACAAGAGGCTTTCACTTTAAAGTGAAAAACACCCTCCTTTTAGGTATATTTCCCTGATCTTGCATCCATTACTAGCCCAAAAACTGACTGGGATTGTTGAGGTGTATGAATTCATTCATGTGTGTAAATGTTTTGAGATCCAGTCCTTAGTTTTGCAACTAAGTTTTATTTAAATTACTTTTTGATATATTAAGAAAAGTTAGTCTTAACGATTGTTTGTTTGGCCCAGTCCATCCTGTTTTACACTGCAATTCAGTACCTGATTGCACTATTCCATAGAGCAACAAAAACAGTGAGTGGATTCCTTCCCAGGTATATCAACCACAGGTTAATGCAAGTTTCCCCTTCAGGCTCCTTGAAATTCCTTGTCTGCTATTTTTGATGTTATATTTTTTTAAAGATTTGCCAAAAATTAATAAACTTTAAAACACTGAATGTACTCTTTTAGAATTACCAGCCAGCAAAAGTAAAATAAAGCCCTAAATCAGTTATTTACTGATAGAGCAAATGATGTTGTTACTGGTTTCTAGCCACCCACCTAGTTTTGCCATTTTTTCTTTGTTTGTGTAGGTTTCAATCCCTACCTTCTTTCATGTTAGTCATCTATAGAGAATTCAGCTTGTTATAGCACATATTTGCACCTAATCCCTCTTTTCCTTTTGGATCTTGGAATGTTTTGACACTTCAGTTACAGTAAGTATATTATAAATTAGGGATGTAGAGCCAAATTATACTGAAACAGAATTTCCAGTGTTTGTGCTGACAGCAAATCTGTTCTATAGCAATACAAAACAACTGTAATGCTGAGTGTGTGTCTTTAGCCACGACTTCTGACAGTTATTACATTACTGTAGCCCAGAATTTGTATAGGACAGCAAATATACTCTAAACTGATTGCAGCTGTGTTACTTCCACCACGCAAGGGATAATCCTGGCTTGGCAGAACAGCTATGGCCTTCTGTTCAGGTGGGCATACTTTTAGACAAGGGGATGAGATTGGCTAAAGCCAATTTAGCAAGATAAAGAAAAGGAAATAGCAATTATTTCTTATAATATCATCATCGTCTCCCCACACACATAAAGACAGAAAAGTCAAGAACACAGTTGTTCTCTCATATATATAGCTATTGTTGTCTCTGTATATTAATTATGAGTCAGCTAAGATCTAACAAAGCCAAAATAAATTACCTATCTTGTGACATCAAATGTCCAGCAGCAGTATCAAAAGGGAGCAATGGTCGGATCCTGCAGTGGACTCTGATATTTCCTCTCAGTTCCTAGGGTTAGATTAAGAGGTATTTAACACAAACTACTGGAGAGGACAAATACACAGGAATTTGTGAAGCAGACACGAACATGTTTAAGAAAGCAGGTGTTTACAACATCACAGCCTTAGACTCTGTGGAGAGAAACATAGTATCAATATAATTTGCCTTGAGAAGTTAAGAAAAAGCACTTGAGCAAGTATGAGCTCTTCAGAGCTCTGAAAGGGTGTAGCCCTCTCCAGTCTATATGGGAAGAAAAAAAAAGGCTTTCAATCTCAGCTGTTTTCCCCTCTTCAGTCTCCTTCATCTTTACTTGAGCTTCTTCAGACACCTATATTAATTCAATAGACAAGATTACACATTCCATTTCTATTCCACCAGCCCTGAGGAATATCTGGAATATAAAACATTTTGTACCTTTTCCTCGCCACATGACTAAAAAGCCAGTAACTGATTTTTCTCTGCAGGCTGTTTCAGACTTCAGTTTATCTAACCTGGTGTTTTTCCTTCCTTTTTGTTGGTGATCAGTTCTTCTTGTTTTTTATTAGTGAAAACAGCTTGCAGTGATGACTAGTGATCACTAGCATTAAATCCCCACTGCCTTGGGGAGTATCCTTTCAGTAAACTGTAACACAAGGCAGAGCGTGGACTGTAAGTACTTTTTAACAAAGAGCTTCATTTTCCCAGGCAGAAAAACTTGGAAGAATTTTGTTTGAAGGTGGCTTGGGTTTCTAAAAATCAGGTCTTGAAGAAGGCAACCCAAAACTAGTCATTTGGGAGGGGTGAGGAGGAAGAGTAAAGTTAAAGTACAAGAAGGAAAAAATTAATCCCAAATGAACCATCACTAATGACTAGGCAGGATACAGTTAGACATATTTGGAAAAACAAGATGGCTATGTTGCATTTTCAAGTTGATCATTTTAAGAATTCTAAGACAATTTCAGAAGCTGCAAATTTAGAGAAGATGATGAAGAAACTCAAGTTTTGTCCACTATTCAAAATGTATGATATTCCTTAGGGCAATATATTACACGAGTGCATTTGGAAGATGCTTGTGTAAAAAGAATGGGGTGGAGTTTACTGTAAGACAAATGTGTTTCAGCAAAGAAATGCATCGTATATAGACAGCTGGGGGAGGTGATATATCCGTGAAAAGTATATTCCTTAGTTTTATTGGTGAGCAAATTATGGGCATAATTACAAAATAAGAAAACGTTCTGTCATTAAATATACTTACAACTAAGTTGTTATGTAGAGCTCTCCTCTTTTGCTTCTCTTTCTCATATCTCTCTGTCACCTCTTGTAGAGACTGCTCAAGATCAAAAGCTTTCATCTGAAACACTAGAAGAAAGCTGTTTCAAAGAACTAAACTCTGTGACTTTACAAAATGAATTTTCCAGTAGCACGTCATGAAATAGAAGCATAAACCTTTGTAAGTTCTACCAAACTTTAATTAGGAGGGTTAGTTCCTGATTTTACTAGACACCTCTGAAAAATCCCATCATACTTCTCTTGCTATGAAACGCCTATGCAAAGTTACAGATAATTACCACAGATATACATGTGAAATCTTGAAAAACAATCACAAATACAAGATATTTAAAGGCAGTTCAAATGTGTCAGTTTAGTTAGAGTAATGTTATCTGTCAGTGAAACCTGAAACGTAAACTTGAAACAACCTGCTTCTGGATGGGGCTGTCACTTGCAAGGCTTATGCCATATTTGTGGTTTATTAAATTCATGCCAGCTGACTTTACAAGAAGTTAACCTATCATTTGTCCTCAGCCTCATTTACAGTGCTACCAATGCTGTACAACAGCTATAAGGTTCCCTCTACGATAGGTGCATTTGCCTCATGGGCAGGATTTCATAAAAAATATTGATCTTTTGAACCCCAGGAGGTCTCCTTCACAAAACTGAGGAGAGCAATATGGGTCATTATAAAAGCCTTCTAGCTTCACAAATGGTTTTATTTCAGCCCTATTACATTAATGCTGAGCAGGCTTAAAACAAACATACACCCCAGACGGCATATGTGACTGTAATCGTGTGTAAAAAGCAAGCTTTTAGGAACCCCAGTGGGAAATCAATCTCCATAGCAATTAGTGAGCAGTTTGAAGATGTAGAGCATCAAGCAGTTAAAACCACAGCCTGAGGGCTGAGTTAGCAGGACAGCCACCAGCCTCAGCATCTGCTACCTTACAAAGAAAGGAACAGACTTAAAATCTCAGTATGTCACATATAAGACTTATGCTCTCTGGTATAGACTAAAAATCAGATAACTTCAAAGGGCATTTGTCTACACTGGAGATTTCTCAGATCTTATTTTTTTAATACCCACGCTGTTCACCTCCAGCTCATAACGCTCCTCCACAAGTGCATGCATGCAGGGGAAACTTCACGTTAACAGTTGGGGTATCAAAGTCTAGGAGTTTCACTAAGAAAAATCCTTTTCTTGCATCTTTATGTGGAGTAACACTAGTACGTCTTGGTTTGGAGAATCACGTGCAAGTATGTTACAATAAATTGTCAAAAGTGACTCTTCCAGTCACTGACCCCTAAATCATGCAGTATTTTTCAAAATATGAGGTTGGAATCCATTGATTATTTAAGTAACCTCCATAATAAGTATCTTCATTTATAAATTTGTGTACACACACTTTCAATTCTTGAAGTCTCTAGAATAAACAGTAAAGCAATAGGGGCTAAGGGTACTCTCCCATTCTTCCAGTCTTGAAAGAAAAAAAAAAAATAAATACTAGTTTGTTTCAATATTTAAGTGGTCTCTTTATGAGGACAGTGATACCAGCATAACAGAAAGGCCTGTGATGAGGACATAAACAACAGCAGCAGCGTAACCTAGCACAGCCACAGCCCAGCTCAGATATGGATGTGTAGCTCTCTCCATAGTTCCCTGGGGTTTTTAATGTTTCTTTCTGTACTAGATTCCAGTTTAAAAAGGAGGTTCTAGGATAAGCAGCTATGATGTAATAGACTTAATTCCAAAACTTCTTTTTAATTCAGCTGTGTTTTATATCCTGGGCTACAACATTATTCTTTGGGCTGCTGCAATTATTTCTGTGGCTGGATCCAAGGTCCCGCTCCCCCTCCCCTACTCTACACTAAGAAGGAAAACTTTCCAAAGGCAGCTGAGGTGGTGAGACTGCCGTTGAGCTGAGGGGGAAAGATGATGATAGCTCACATTGCACAAATACAAGTCATCGGCACAGGGCAGAGCTCAGCTTTCTCCAAGAGGAGCATAGCACATAGGTGCCAGCATATGGGCGAAGTGGGAAACTAGCTCCTTACCCAATTTTTCACCTTTTCAACCCCAGAGAGAAAGTCTCCTAGAACCACAAAGGATATTTAAGTCACTGGGCTGTAGCAGCTTTCACAAAATGTCAGTAACCGGCAGCAACTCCTCTGTCACAAATTCACTTGGACTCATTTTGCTCCTTAGTACCCACCACCTTGCCAAGCACTGAGAACAGTAGTTTCCCCTCTCTGAAAAATAGGTTCTGCATGCACAGACACTGTCGTTTCCTCTTTCTGGAAATACCTGTGTGGTGAAGCAATCTAAAAAGTCACCTTAAATTTTTAGAAATTCCTACCCTTCCAGAAATCTGCTGAATTACTGCATCTGCTTCAGCAGTATCATTTGCAGTCAGGTGGCCACTATTTTTTGCTAAAATGATAGCAGCTTTGTTTATGAGGGAAACAGGCCTATAACAAAAGAATAATGTCACTTCTGTGTCTTATGAATTACTACTATTTAAATTTCAGTGGGAAAGATGGCAATAGCCTGGTTTTCAGACTGTGAATAAATATTTCTCAGCAAGGGACTACTCATATTATTGCAGGGAAGTTTTACAGCTTGCTGCATGTCAACTACAGCCTCGAAATTAACCTACTTGAATGTTTCTTCTATAATTCTCTCCCTCATTTTCAATCTCTATTTTAAGATTAAACTGATAACATATGTTGTCTCCAGAATACATACTTTGGACTTTCTGTTTACAAAAGATTACATGTAATTTAGGGATGGCAATTCCAACCATCATATTTAACCTTAACAATAGAATCTCCACCTAAAACATTTGACAGAGAACTGAAAAATGGCCAAATAAAAAACGTAAGTCATCCACCTAAGTACCAACACACTATTTTGTTATAGGCAATGAAGCTTCTCCTGGTTATGATTTCATAGAACAATGCACCACGAAGTGCAAACTGAGAACAGTCAATGGGAATTTGCAAGGTTTCATAAAGAATACTTACTATTTATTTAGACCACAACAGCTCAAGTGCCAAATCCAACCTCCTATCTGTTCCTTTATCTTCCTGCTTCAGTAAGAGAAACAATGACCTTCATCTACGGTTAATTTTCCACTTTGTTTTTTTCCATTTTAATGACAACTTGATTAAGCATTTTCTCTACATGGATAATATAGTAATCAAATCAATTTTAATCCTAAGTTAGTACATAACATAGAGGGACAAGTTCTGCAAACACCCATCATCGAGAATGCTGTTTGTTGCTATTGACACAAGTAGTCCCATCAGCATCAAATCAGTCCCAAAATTAAGTATTTCAATGAAAAAGTAAAGCAGGAGAAAAATGTACCTTTTAAATGGCAACACATGGATATTACAGCATCACCCAGGGACGACTCCAATTATAAATTTGTGCATTTGTTGTTAGTTCATCAGGCTGCTAAGCTTCAAACAATTTAAGCTCTGTATGTCTTGTGTTTCTCAGGCCTGGTAGAAGCTCCACCAGAATTAAGGATATTGAAAGCAGGTGCAGAGATCCATGCCAAGAGATCCAGGTGTAGGACCAATGCACTTAGTCCTCAGGGATGAGGGCAGAGCACACCACTGCACTGCAGGGTCTGCTTTCTATGTACACATGAACAAGGAAGGACCTGAATTCCGAAACAGTAGTCCGTGTGGTGTTATTATCTACAGTCTAGTGGGTGGAACTGGTTTTGATTTGGAAGTAAAATTTTCTCCGTAAATACACAGAAACATTAAAAATCCAGTCTGTCCTGATTTTAGACAGTATTTTCAGAAATCTCTGAAATCACCCAAGTCCTTTTCTGGTACAGTCAAAAGCAGACAAATTTCAGCTAAATCAACACATTCTTTATTCAGCCATTCTCAAACAGTCAAGATAACAAGCCTGAGAACTTCAGATTGAAAATGTTACAGCTGAGCCAACTCAGCAGCAGTCTAGTAGCAGCTGTGATCAACGCAAAAGCTAAATCCAAATTACCAGTCATAACCTCTGCAGAGTTATTTGTACACTTTATAATGCTTCAGAACTCCTTGATGATCTAATGTCAAATAAAAACCAAGTGCTACAATTTCAGTGACATGTTTCTCAGAAAATAAAACTCAACCTTTTAATGTTAGTAACATTTAACAATGACACTGTTGTGTTACGTTTGAAATGTAAGTGCAATGAGCCTTACTTTGCATTGCTTCATTTTGCAGCTGTATCCCTTGGACTGCTGTCAAAACTTGGTAAAGATAAGTCTTGCTTTGACGCTGGAAGTCTTTTGAAAGCTCAAGAGCAAATGAATGGAGGCTCTTCAGGTCTTGCTTAAGCCTCTTCTCAGAAAGAAGAAAAAAACACGTTATAAAGATGCAAAAACAGCAGTTAAGGAAGAGTCAATATAACACTACCACAAATAATTATGGTGAGATAGCGCAGTCAGGAAGAACCCTCTACTTGATGAAAGGAAGTCTTCAGGAGTTTATCTTTCAGCACGTTTAGAAAAGGGTCCTGCAAGGTATTTAGTAATGTCATTTCCTAAAGACTTCTGCAAGACTTTTTGGATCCTTACCATCTTATGGTACATACTTTGACCATAACACAGCTTCAGGTATAATAAAGTCTCTCTCTTATTTCATCCAACAAAGTAAGTGTGTGTATGTGTTTGTGTTCTGTCCACTTATAAGTCATATACAGAATTAGCAATGAAAAATTGTGATCCATATATCCCTTACTGCATTCCTTTTCCACACTTTGATCAGGAGGTATTTGCTAAGCTTCACCTAAGTCATTTCTTATATAAGCAAGTTCTATGCCTTCCTATGAGAACAGATGTATTTTGAAAAGATCAGAAACCTTTATTGTTCAGAAAAGAATTTGTATTATGGATATAACTCAGCATAACATACATGATGAGACTTTTAAATGTTTTTAAGAGCAGCTTATATTCACTTAAAAGTCCAAATAAAGTAAAACCAAATTGACTTGATTTTAGGATTAGCAGACTTCTTGACATCTAAGTCTTGGAATGAACATGTAACGTCATCTGTAAGATGAACTTAACAATATCTTATCTCACAGAAGCACTGTCATATTTCATTAGTCAGCCTGGTACAAAGTGTCACATATTCTGTCACATTTTATTTTTCCAATTGTGATATTGGCCTTGAATTAATTGACTAGTTTCAATGATAAAACAATAATCTAAAGGGAGAAAATCACTGCATTTCTCACTCTCAAAAGCCACAGAATATAACTGGGAAGAAGTATTTTTCTTTATGAGTATAGAATTACCACTAATCTAAACTTTTATTTGGAGAGCTTTGATCTCTCCTAACATTCATTGATCTCTGATAGTGTTCCGGTTTTGGCTGCGATAGAGTTAATTTTCTTCACAGTAGCTGGTACAAGGCTGTGGTTTGGATTTGTGATTAAAACAGTGTTGATAACTCAGGGATGCTTTCGTTACTGCTGAGCAGGGCTCACCCAGAGCCAAGGCCTTTTCTGCTCCTCACCCCACCCCAGCAGTGAGGAGGCTGGGGGGGCACAAGGAGTTGGGAAGGGACAAAGCTGGGACAGCTGACCCCAATGTCCCAAGGGACATCCCATACCATA